ACATCCTTATTCACCAATGATGCTATTCTGAGTCCGCGATGGTTGGTGGGATAGACTCCAGATTGTGTTCAAATTCACGCCCCTTCACACGCGCCATCATTTGCAAGGAACGTGACTATACTAGGGTGCAACTCATGGGTGAACAACGAACACCACTATACTTGTTCCACTTATAGAGACTCCTTTTCAACCGCTTCACATACCGTACTACTCGCAAGGAATGGTTGACATATGTGCAGCTGAGAAAATGATGCAAATCAGCAACAGGGTTCCTGGTATGTGTTCTCTTTGCCAATTCATGTGGAAGTGAATGAGCTAGAAGCTACTTTAGGTTTACTACAAGTATGACTCGATTCCCGTGGACTTGTGTGAAGATTTTTTCGTCGGCAGGAAGGAAAGTCGCGTTCCGATTCCTCCAGGTACATCTTTCATATGCTTCATGCAGTAGAAATTTTTTTCCAAGGATTGTTTCAGGTGAATCTTTATTCCGCACCAGCAGACCTGGGCCGATCAGATGCTTTGAGAATATACGCATCGATCGCTTTCATGCCAATTACACTCCTGGCCGAGTATAGGTGAGTGGTCATACCCTTAGTAGTTTGCAGCCTAGTTCATCTTTTTGGCTACCTTGAAATATTCGAGTTAGACGGCGCATTCGGCGACCACTTTGCCCTTTTGCTACTTCCCATCGACGTGTCGACCCATCTAGAGAGCCTTTTCGTGAGTTGACAGGTTTCACCATTGTGGCTCGATGAGCTTGCTCCAGCTTCACAGGAGTTCACAGGTTTCATCAGGTAAAGTATGCAACCGGAACTAGTGGAGCAATGAAAGTGCAAAATGCCCCCCCCCCCTCTTCGTCGGTCGAACTGCGGCGAGTTAGACCCCAGGTTTCGTTGTTTCAAAAATATCAAGTGGCTCAAGGGCACTGTCCGCGACAGCTCTTTTTTGCCCAGGCAAGGACCACTACATCAGGCAAAAAAGCCGTTTTGGAGGAGCGCCTCCCTGCCCAGTCAGAGCGGAACTAGGTCAACTCCAGTGCATCCTTTTTTATTCGTAGAATCGTGACATCATTTCTCAGTGTCAGCAACAAATTTAGGACCACCGAACTTTTCTCGGGCTAATCTTTGGTTCCAGAATCGATCGCGACTCAACGCCGTTTTCAAAAGCAGTAAGTGCCGATGTGTTGGCCCTACACTTTCGTGGAACAGCAGCCGATGGCGAATATGGTTTCATCGCGGAGATCTCAAGCATTCCTAGCTCTCCCGATTCAGGTAAGGGATTCAAAGGATCATATTGAGTTTGCTTTAAGTTGTTTCCTAAAAAAGCCCACAGAAGCTTCTTGCGCTACGTACTCCTTCTTCAGGTACCGTGGATCAAGTGATAGTCCGAGGATCAAGGGTAGACAATAACGATCGAGGAGCTATTGTTTATCAGAATGCCGGTGAGATGAGTCCTGCCGTAATAATCGGTGAGTAGTGAAGCTTTAGGATCTGCATTTAATAAGGAGAAATTCGAAAATAAATTTCATAGCTCCTCATAAGAAAAAGATGATTATGTGCATTTCATCTATTGAATATTCAAATATAGTACCATACATGTGAAAGAA